GCCGTCCACGCAGATCGAGAACACGCCCCTGCTGTGCCCTTTCCACCTGCAGCCAGTGCCTGAGTACGTCTTACTGCTTCTCATCACTGCCCACCCCCCCTCTCTCACACACACCTACACACACACACACCCCTGCTCCCCGGCCTCGTACTGCCTGTGCGGGAGATGCCGCCGTGTGCGTCCTGTGTCCAGCAGAGCAAGGCCGTTAGGTCTGCTTCTGTTCCTCGGGAAGGGACCCTAAGGTTTCCCTGTAAATATGATTAATTTCCTGACTCGTGCAGGCAGAGAAGTTTGCTGCGTCTTAAACAGAGAGCTTTTATTCTGGTGAATGTGTGCCATTCACATGCTCATCATTCACTCATCATTCACTCATCTTTCTTCTGTGAATTCCCTATTTATAGTTCTAGCTTTTTTTCCTACTTGGAGAGTTTTATTTTTCCTTACTCCCTAATACTATTGTCATGTGTGTTATAACCTGACTGAGCCGCTCCAGAGAAGTGATGGCCTGGATGATACCAGGGAAAAGACTCCTATTCAGAGGACTCGGTTCCGGTTCCGAGTAGGTAGTTTGTTAACATTCAGTTTTCTTTCTTTTAAGTTCGGCCGTATTGAGATCCATGAAGGTTATAGGAGCCTCGTGCTCCTCCTTCCTGAGAGCTCAGTATGTTCTGTGGGTCCTTTGCCCTCAATTATGGCATCTTATGTCATCGCCGCTCATTCCTGCTGCCTCGTGTGCTGACCGTTCAACATCTCCTCACACACAAATTCTTGAAGAGGAGGCTTTATTGATTCAAACATCACTGATTTTTTTGGGTTGTCTTTTTATAACTGGCAGAGCATGAAGTGCTAAGATGGTATATTTTTATTTCTAAAAATCCAATGTGGTGTAACATTTCCCTTCAGTTTTGAGTCTGAATTATAAAGTAGTAAGATGGGTTATATGCAGTCCCGGGCTGTGTAAAAAGGAATAACTGTGCGTGTGCTGTGACGTGTCAGTGATGTGTTAACTGCAGGCTCAGGCGAGAGCTGAGGGCAGGAGTGGAAGTCCCTGCCTGACTGATAGAGGGTGGATGGCCCTCGATGGCCACAGGTGCTGGGTCGTGGAGGCTCCAGAAGCTGCTCCCAGGCCTGGGAAGTCTCCCGAGACCACTCGGCAGTGAATTATTCACGTGGCCTTTGTGTTGAAAACCTTCCGATTGAACAGCTATAATTATCTGGGCCCTGGAGGGCATGTATCATTTACGTGGTATTGATGTTCAGTCAGACCTTAATCACCAGCTGGGCTGGCAGGAAAATGAGCAGCGTAGGACTGGCTGTAACGATTTTTAAAACATCATTAGATGCAGTGAGGTCCCTGAAGGTGGGCTCTGTCCTGCTCGGAGGGAAGTGCTTTCTCTCTGAGTTAAATGACTCCTGAGCGTATCTACAGCCCCTGCAGGCAAAATAGCCCTTCTGCTCGGGACAAGAGGAGTGCAGGGTTTGGGCCAAAAGCTCTTTGTAAAGTCGAAGATGGTGCTGACCGTCGGCCACTGCTCACAGTGACAGCGCCCTGGCACGAGGCCCGGGGTGGCATGCTCATGCTAACGGTGTGTAAGCTGCCTGCTCCTCCTTGTCATGAGGAATCCAGCAAAACTTACCCTGATTTTTAATACGCTTTAGCCACGTCTCACAGCGATGCCCGTGAAGTGCGGTCTGGGACACGTGGGCGTGGCTTTCCTGTGCCAGCCCAGTCCCGATCCTGCAGTCCTTCCTGGTGTGATGTAGGGGCCGCACTGGACGGGTTGTCAGGAGTCAGGAAGTGGCCGTTCCCAGAATGCCGTTCAAAGTGTCTAAGAATGGAGACCGGGAAACAAGGCAGCTGGTTCTGTAAAACACGCTCTAATGCGGCTCTTCCTCCTTTCAGACCTGAAACAGTGTTAAAAAATCAAGAAGTGGAATTTGGCAGAAATCGAGAGAGGCTTCAATTTTTCAAGGTATAAATGTTTGGGGGAACTTTTTTAATTGCAATTTGTGAAATATTGGCAGGTACGGTTTTTATATCTTGAGACCAATCGTTTTTGAACTTCTAGCAGTGAGCTGGGTGGGCTCCCTCTCCCCCCCTGAGTCCTGGGGACACAGTCGGAAACGACCCTTTATCTGGGCTCTTTTCTTAGGTTTAGTCTGTAGACTTGGGCCCTAGGGGCCATTGGTAAGATGTTTTTAGCGTCAGTATTTGTACTGTGATGACGAGCACACATTCGTACGATGCACTAACACTGCGTTTCTTTACACACAACCCAGTGGTGTTCGAGAGTGTTCCGGAACGTGGCTCTGATCCCCCCCGGCACGGGCATGGCCCACCAAGTGAGCCTGGAGTACTTGTCCCGGGTGGTCTTCGAGGAGGAGGCCCTCCTCTTCCCCGACAGCGTGGTGGGCACGGACTCCCACATCACCATGGTGAACGGCCTGGGGATCCTGGGCTGGGGTGAGTACACAGCCTGCATCCTGTTCTCTTGGGCGGGGGAGGTCGGGCATGAACGGGCACCAGCAGCAGGTCGCTGTGGCCTGGAGACCGTTCTCTGTCCTGGCAGCAGGACAGGAGGGCTTAGCTCAGGTGTGCGGGTCAGTGTGTGGTCAGAGAGGATTGATGAAACTCGCACAGTGCCCAGTGGGTGGTCAGCGTGGCCGCGACCGCCTCTGTGAAAATGAGGTGGTCACTCTCGGGTAAAGAGCTTCCGTGGCTCCCTTGCCTCTTCATACACCCAGGCTCCTTTGCAGCTACACCAGGCCCTGCACAGCCTGGTGCTCCGGCCGTCCCCACACACACACCTTAGAGACGGTCGTTACTCCCCGAGCTTCGCACACGCTGCTCCCTCCGGCCGAGCGCACTTCCTCTCTCACAGCCTGTGATGACCACCAACTTCCTTTTTTTTTTTTTGTCTGTGCCGTTAGGCCAGGCTGCTTGAGCCTGAACTGGGCTGGGCTCTGTTGGTATCGGATCTTGAGCGTAGCGCCCTGCGTAGCCTAACAGGGACTCGGTGTTTACTGAGCTTAGCATGAAGGTAAAATCGGGTTTGCAGCATGTGAGCGAGAAGACGCGGGTTCCGAACCCACGTGGTCGCAGGGAAGCCGCTGAGGAGCTCGGGAAACGCCCCGTGTCGCGGGGAAGCGCGTGTGTCCCCCGCGTCCTGTGCTCAGACGTGCGTCTCGCTGCAGGGGTCGGAGGCATCGAGACGGAAGCCGTGATGCTGGGGCTGCCCGTGTCCCTCACGTTGCCCGAGGTGGTGGGGTGTGAGCTGACCGGCTCCTCCAACCCTTTCGTCACGTCCATAGACGTTGTTCTTGGCATCACAAAGGTACGTGCAGGTGCTGGCGAAACTCCTTCGTCCTGGACGTCCGGGCATGTGCGTCGCTGCTCACTGACCTGTCCACTCGTCCTCCTTATGAGCCGGGGAGGGTGGTGCTGTCACTGGGCCATTTCCCACCTTCACTCTGAGCGCGGCACCGTGAGGCCGGCTGACCAGGACGTGGGCCCGCGCTCCCTCCCTGCACGGGGCGTGGAGCCTCCGCCTTCCGGCCTCAGCAAGCAGCTGGGGGCTCCGTGGTGTTGGGGAAAGTCTAGTCTCCTTAACACGTCACTGAGTCACCCGCCCCTTAGGAACCATTGCTCTCGCAGTGGTTCTCAACCTTCTGGCCCTTTAAATACAGTTCCTCTGTTGGGACCCAACCATACAATTATTTTCATGGCTACTTCGTAATTGTAATGTTGCTACTGTTATGAATCATCATGTAAATATCTGATATGCAGGATGAGGCGACCCCTGTGAAAGGGTCGTTCGACCGCCAAAGGGGTCGCGACCCACAGGTTGAGAACCGCTGCCTAGGAGATCCTTTCAGAAACAGCGACTGGGACTGTGGTGGCGGCAGCCTTTCTCTTTTTGTATGTGTGTCTATTGATGTCAGAGAGGGAGAGAGAGAGAGAGGGAGAGAGAAACATCCATGAGGAGAGAGAATCATGGGTCGGCTGCCTCCTGCACGCCCCCTACCAGGGATCAAGCCCGCAACCTGGGAACGTGCCCTTGACTGGAATCGAACCCGGGACCCCTCAGTCCACAGGCTGACGCTCTATCCACTGAGCCACACTGGCCGGGGCGCATCAGGCTTTTCTGTGGGCCGTTCCCGCCTTGCTTCTCAGCACTGCGCGTGGGCTCCGTACAAGTGCGCTAGGGTCCCCAGTGAGCCGCTGTCTCGCCCCCTCGGAGTCCTGTGCGCTCTGACTGGGTTTTGTTGGATTATTTAGACACTCAGTCCATAGGACGGCTGCGTCACGGAGGAGCGCACTGCGGCAGGTTAGGCTTTGTTGCTGCACAAGCTCGGACTGTGTCAGACAGTTGTGATCATCTGCTGACTCGTTTCCGTGATTAAGGCGCCTGCACCTGGGGCTCGCTGTGCTCCCCGCGGGCCAGGCCCCAGCGCTTCGGCCGGTCGGTTGTAGGGGGAAGGCCTTCAGGACAGTCCGCAGGGGGAGAGACGGTGCTGCCTCCCTCCCGGCATGCAGTATTGATCTTCCCTGATTTGGAAAGCGTTTGACAGCTTACAGAAATGATTGATTTGGTGTGTGGACCACAGATCCAGAAGCTAAATTGAGAATTACAGCCTATTCCTCGAGGAAAAGGAGCATCCCATTATGTTTCTGTAGAAATCGATTCTTCCCTGCGGACATCCTGAAAATTAACGGGGCCTCTCGGGCCCTCTGGCTGCTCCTTACATAGTGTCCTGAGCCTAGTTTGGCATTTCGACTCACGGATACAGAAGTTTATTGTGGAAGACGGCGTTTGGTGGAGGTCCTGTTCTGTTCACCGTCTTTGCAGGATTAATCCTGTTTCTTCAGTGTTCAGCATGGTGCCTCATTCGTTTGGTGGAAGCAGCAACTGGGTGTATTTCATCTGTCTTCCCCTCGTTTGCAAAAAAATAACCATGAATCGAAGGAGACGTCTTCTTAGGCTGGAGTTTGTACATCTGTGAACTGACCTCCAGCCCTCCACCCGCTGGGACTAGCAGGCTCCATGGGTCGGAGGTGGTCTCGCTCTGGCCCCCAGGCTCTCCCTGCACCAGCTGAGCCCCTTGTGCAGTGAGGAAGGGTGAGCAGCCGTTTCGGTTGCTTGGGAGTAACTAAGAGAAAGGCTGGTAGAAGGAACTAAGCTTGAAGCTACCTGCTAAACACTATCAAAATGGAACTTACCTATAACGAATATCGCTGTAAATGTTTGGACAGGAGGTGGAATTTGAAGGGTATATAACTGTCTGTTCCTATACACAGTTCGATCAGTGTTTTTTTTTTTTTTTAAAATATATTTTATTGATTTTTTACAGAGAGGAAGGGAGAGAGATAGAGAGTCAGAAACATCGATGAGAGAGAAACATCGATCAGCTGCCTCCTGCACACCCCCCACCGGGGATGTGCCTGCAACCCAGGTACATGCCCTTGACCGGAACCGAACCCGGGTCCCTTCGGTCCGCAGGCCGACGCTCTATCCACTGAGCCAAACCGGTCTTGGCTCGATCAGTGTTTTAGTCTAAGTCCCAGATGCCCTCGATGGCTAGAAGCGCGGTTGTTTTATGTCCTGCTCAGCAAGGAAGAGACACGCACACAGGAGTCCACGCGGGCCCCAGTCTCAGAACGGGAACGTGGGGTCCCAGCCATGAGCATCACGCCCTTTCCCACCCCTCCGACCGACAGCGACGCCGCCCTCTCTTCTGACGGACTGTTTATCTCTAAGTGCCTCTGCTCCCCGGCGAGCGCGCGTCCTGGGAACAGCAAAGTCCTCTGCTCCCTGTCCCTGGCGTCGGGTGGCGATCGGAGGGCAGGGTTCTCGGAGAATCCGTGCCCATCTCGTTGCTAACTGCGTCTGTGTCCCTCCATCCAGCACCTCAGGCAAGCAGGAGTGGCCGGCAAGTTCGTCGAGTTTTTTGGAAGCGGAGTCTCACAGTTATCAATAGTGGATCGGACGACAATAGCAAACATGTGTCCAGAATATGGTGCTACCCTCAGCTTCTTCCCTGTTGACAATGTGACCTTAAAACACTTAGAACATACAGGTAAGAAGACAGAGGTCCTGCGGATAAACATGCCGTCTTCCCGTGTGTCTGTCTGATGTGTTTTTCATGTTCATGACATTACGTTATTTTGAGACAATGGCTTCCACATAAACCATCAGATGACTTTAGTGTTGGGCCTCAAACCCTGGTCTCCACTGACCCATCGACACGCAGCTT